CAACCACACCCAGCCCGAGCATCGCGCGGCCGTGAGCCCGACGGCGGAGACGTGCGCCAGCGCCCGGTGAGGGGCCAAACAAGGTTGAGAAACACTGCCTGAATATCTCCAGCAAGGGAGAGACCACCATCTCTCCCAGCAGTTTCTCCCATGGCTGAACAGCTCTTACTGTTAGAAAATTCTTCCTGACGTCCACCAGATTTTGGATTATTTTTGTGCTATTTACTTTCCCATGTCCCTCCTTTCTTTTGTAAATCCTTTTCGATTAAACTCCCCTGAACGGTTTATTACATCAGCAGAGATGTCCACTTCACTGTCCTCACCAAGACCTTCTGTCAGGATCTGCGCAAGCTAGAAATCAAAGCTTAATTGAATGTAGACTAGTGATGCATAGTTGACAGGGTTAAATGTTATAATTGTTAATTGGAGCCCAGACTCTGACACCTTCATTGGTCAATAAAGCACCCCTTTCCAATGTCATTTTGACCTCCCCTCCAATGCAAACAGTGCCCTGTATTCCTTCTCTCGGTCTCCCTGGTTCTTTGACCAGCTTCCAGTCCACGGGATCACCCGTCCTCTTAAACCCAGGGCTACAAATTTTGCATAAAAGTTTTTGGTGAGGATCTCGATCAGAAGTCCAGGGGATTGATTCATTGATGGACTGTCGTCAAGTTGGTGTTGACTTGTAGCGACCACACAGATGGATTCCCTCCAAGAAGATGTCTTCCACTTGGTCCTTCAGGTCTCTCAATGGGGTCCACCACCTTTGCCTACCCCTCTCTTCTCTTTCCTTCATCCTTTTCCAGCATTATGGATTTCTCAAGGGAACTGAATTTCCACATGACGTGTTGAAAATATGACAGCCGAAGCCTGGCCATTGTGCTTCAAGTGAAATTCTTGGCTTGATGATCCATTGGTTTGTTTTGCCGGTCATCCATGGCTTGTCACGTCCAAGCATACATTGTGATTCAGATCACCTGTAATTACCTGCTTGTTAACCCCTTGAAAAAAGTCTACCTTTCTTGGAGATGCTCTGTTGCTCCCTTGATAGCAAGTCCCATCCTCCATGCTGTGTAATTTGCTCCTTACCTTAATTAATTAATTTATTATATTTATATAGCCGCCCATCTCACACAAGGTAACTCTGGGCAGCATACAACAATCAGAAAGAATAAATACATAAAAACAATTACAAATAAAAAACTGTAAAAACACACAAAATAGGAGGGGATAAAATTAATAACGGAGCCATCGCAAAGTCTCCTCGGTCCCCTGGGAGCCCCAGGCCTGATCACATAGCCGGGTCTTGAGGGACTTGCGGAATGTTAAGACTGCAATCATCTTGATTTTTCGACTGGAATTAAGGGATCATGTGCTCTGTAGCGTGCTTGCGCCACAGTGCTCCCTCCCCATCCCAATCGCACTCGTGTAGCACCTTCCTGCCTCACTGCCTAGTAATCACCTGCCCTTCGGCCTGCTTGCAAGCCGCCTGGGACCTGCAACTCCAGCCGGCTTCCCCATTGATTTTGCTTGTGGGAAGCCAGCAGGAAGTCACAAGTCACAGTCACATGAGGTCCTCGCTTAACGACCTGCAATTTTCGCTTAATGATGGCAGTGGGGACTGCTGGGATTGCTGTCGCTAAGTGATGCAGTCACGGGACGTCGTGCTTTACGATCACATCACTTAGTGATGGAAATTCTGGTCCAATTACAGTAGTTAAGCAAGGACTACCTGTACAAATAGTCCTTGGGTTATGACCCCTCGTTCAGTGACCATTCAAAGTAACAACGACACAGAATGAGTGGTACTTACAACTAGTCCGCAAAGTTCCAGCCATCACAGCACCCCCGCAGTCACATGATCATGATCCGAGCACTTAGGAATCAGCTCATGCTTAAGACAGTTGCAGCGTCCCATGGTCATGGGATCACCATTTGTGACCTTCCCTGCCGGCTTCCCACAAGCAAAGTCAATGGGGAAGCCAGCAGGGAAGGTCGCAAGTCACTGCCATAAGTCACTCCTGCTGCTTTTTCTCCCAAGGAGCCCTACTACAGAGTATGAGAGGTAGCCCCTGCTGACCCACCCTCACTCCCTAGCACCCACCTGTGTCCCTTACCAGCCTGCCCGTACTTCCTAGTGCCCCCGCCCACACTCCATAGCACCTGCCTCTGGCACCCCCCCACCCCCAGCGGTACCTGCGCACCCCTAGCGCACCATTGTGCCTGACTGTGGCACCTGGGCACCCCCCCCCCCGTGCTCCTTGCTTGGGATTCTTGCCTCTTCCTGCTTAACAACCCACACAGTCTTGGAGTTACAATGACAACAGGGACTGTAGGGATTGCCGTCACTAAGCTATGCGATCATGTGACGTTATGCTTTACGACCACATTGCTTAGTGATGGAAACTCCCATCCCAATTGCCGCTGTAACCCGAGGACTAATTCCCAACATCTGCTCACAACTGCTTCTACCAATCAGTCTCCTTTAAATCATGGTGGTGGTAGACTTAGATAATGTTTTAAATGGATTGTACTGTTTTATGCTTGATACTGGTTGATACTGTTTTTTGTGAATTCACAGCTTTCTTTGTCCCATGCTTGATAGAAGTACAGATAGCCCTTGCTTAGTGACCACAATTAAGACCAGTAACTCAGTCATTAAGTGAAGTGATTGCTAAGTGAAACCACGACTGTGCTTACAGTCTGACTTCAGCTTTCCTTTGCTTTACAGACCTGCAAAGGTTGTAAATGCAAGGATTGATCACAAAGTTACTTCTTCCTCACTGTCATAACTGTGAGTGGTCACTAAATGAGACAGTCACTAAACGAGGACTCCCTGTATATACAAAATAAAAATGCTATTACTAACACACATAATGTGTATTAGATCTTCCCCTGCCTACCCTCCAAATTCAGACTCCCTGGATTGTTCCAAAGTTTAAAGTTCTCTTCTTTTTTTCCAGCCTTCAGGTTTGCAAAAACCGGGATGCACGGCCATTCCATGGCATTCAAAAAGCTTGCCTGAGAAGACTTTGGACATTTAAGCTTCCTGATATCAAACTTTTGAAAGGATGGGGAGCTGTGCCCTTCTACGGCAGTGCCACCCCTTGCAGATGTAACATGCCCTCCATTTTGGACAGAGATTTGCCCAGGATGGCAGGGAACTCCCAGGCAGATCTAGGCTTTGAAGGGATCTTCCAGATCTTAGCTCAGATCCCAGCAGACAGGCTGACTCACTATAGGCATAAACTGAGCTGCTCGCACCAAGATCAGAGGAGCTGTCATCTCCTGCACATCATGATCCTGTGGTGTTTGGGGAGAAAAGATAAGGCCAGGGCGCACCTCAGCTGCTTAAGGGATGACGTGGTTGCAAACCATCTCTTCCAATACTGCTGGGGCAATGCTGGAGCAAAGACATCGCCCCCAGGGCAACTGAAGGAACACGCGAGGGTGGCCCAGACCGTGGCTGAGATCTACTCACTTTTGGTTGATGAGAAGCTGTGCGAACCACTGGCCAGGGATGAGGCCTACAGGGCAGCTATCAAAGCCTTTCAGGCAAGCAGTATTCAAGGAGCCCAACTCCAGAGTCTCCTGGATGAAGCTGTGGATAAATGTGGGCTGCAGTTCATCTCCACGGTGCTAAGGGATAATTTTGGTGCTCTGGTCTCGGGTGGAAGGGAGTTGACTCAGCCAAGAAGTAGCAGCCCAGTGCCAATTGACAGCTCTGTCCCTCCTGATAACCCTCAGCCGTTACGTTCTACAGGTAGCCCCGTCTCCTACCTCAGCAGCTTTGAGATCAGCGAGACTTCAACAGATCTTGCAACCGACAGCCCTTGCAGCATGGACGTGCCCGTGCCTTTGCCACCAACCAACCGAGTAGAAGAAACCAGCTCTATGTTGTTGGGCGGTGGCTGCTCCGCCAACCCAGGGGAACCTTCTCAACAAAATTCCCGTGGCTCCTGTTTACTGCCTGGCCCCAAAAGCCCAGTGTCTCCCAAGGCATCTTTCCAGTGCCCACCAACACCCAAAGCAGCAGCAGCAGCAGCAGCAGCAGCAGCAGCAGCAGCAGCAGCAGCAGCA